CTTATCTCGTCTGTTTCTTTTGCTGTTGTGGGAAAGAGATCGGGCTCTGCGGGCGAGCTGACGTGTGGGCTAAGGTTGTCACTGGCCTCTCAGTGTCTTTCCCGCAGCGGCCCTTCCTGCAATGCTACCCCCAATCCTCTGTTGCCACCGACTTCCCTGACCTGAATATTGCCAGAAGAGTCTGGTTTAAGTGTCCCCAGCTCAGGTGAGTCCTGTTGAGGGCATCCTCTGCACCCAGGCAGGAGTGAGATGTTGATCCCGTGTCCTGCGTCAGCCACAGGAGCTTCAGAGGTGGGCTCCTCATGGGGACTCAGCTGAGCAACCAGAGGAACTAGAGGGCCTCGCTGTGCACGAGAACTTGGGGGCCCTCAGCTCCATCTAAGGGCCTTTGTGAGGTGCCCGTCCGTCTGCCAAGTGACAGGTGACCACAGGCAGGGGAGGGGCATACCAATAAAATGCTTGTCCAGCCAGGGGCTCGCTCGTGTGTTCTGGAATACTCTCACAACATGGCTCCAGAGAGGCCTGTGTGGGGAAGAGCGTGGACAGGCCTGCTGTCCCACCAAGCTGGCCCTCTGTTCTGCCTGATGTACGGGTGCAGCAGGGGTACTCGTCGGCCAACAAATGGCACCACCAGTCCAGAGGACAGGGAAAAGGACAATGCCAGGTGAGCAGATCTTGCAAAAACAATCGGGTTTTCTGTGCCCAAGGCAGGCGTCCCGTCACACCACACCAGCAGGGATAGTAACCAGCGCTGTCCTGTGTGAGTTCTGTCCCTGGGGTCCCGCGTGCTCTCTTCTGTGCGCGGCGCCCTGTGTCCCATGCTGTCCGATGGCTTTGCCTTTGGTGCTGCCGGCCCCCCAACTTCAGACTTACCCTTGCTGGCCTCGCTCCTCTTCCCCTGGTTCTCCCTCTGCTTCTCTGTGTCCGGCTCCCCCCAGCCTGCTTCCTGCCCACATCCGCACTCTCAGTCCTCAGAGTTCTTCAGACTTCTGCCCTTGGTCTTGTTTCAGCGTGTCTGAGTTCAGCACGAGTCTCTGTTTCTCATTCCCAGCATGCCCGCCCTGCCCGGATCCTCTCCTTTCAACTTTTCAAATACACCTTTATGCTGCATTTTTTAAAAAAGATGTATTTATTTACATATACAAGAACTGGCGTACAGGCCAGAGGTATGGGGGGCGGGTGGCAGTGAGAGGATTCATCAGAGACAGAGCGGGGAGCAGAACAGGCGGATCCACTGAAATCCACTGCTGAGGGGAGCAGCGGGGAGACAGGAGAGGTCTGCTGCGCCCTGTGGGTAGCTCCCTGGCCGGGGATTGAGCTTGTGCTGCAGTGGCTGTGGATAGCTTCATAGTGCTGAGACTTAACCCCTGCGCCACCCAAGAGGCCCCTTGTGCTGCATTTTAATAGCTTGTTTATATCCCTGACGAGAGGCTTAAAGGCCACCAATACCATCCTCTCATTCTTTCTTGGTGATAGAGCCCTTGTGATTTGCGGTGGGGGTGCGGCCCCACGGAACACAGACCCTCCCAGGCTTCCCTGCCAGTAGGTGTGACTAAGGTCTGGGTGACGGGGTATGTGTGTGTGTGTGTGTGCATGAGTGTGAGTGCACAAGAAAGGAGGATTTGCTCTCGCTTTCCTACTTGCTGAGGGAGGGGGACAAGATAGCCTGGTGACAGCCTGGTGACAACCTGGTGATGCTGAGCAGTAGAGGAGGGACCCGAGTTCCTGGTGGGAAGGAGACACCTGCATGCCCAGAGCTGAAACACCAGGACTGAGATGGAGGACCTCCTGTGTCAACACGGTGTTCTGTTTACCTAGGAAGTTGTCTTTCAGCAAGATAAAAATGTAAACCAATAAATAGCTTCTCTGTTTGCTTCAGGAAGTTCACGTAGAATAATTTCTCCTAACAAAAGGCGGCTCATGTGGGCACACAGCCCCCATCTCGGAGGCTGGGTTTTGTTCACCTGGGCAAACAGCTCAGTTATCAAACAACTGTTTACTCAACAGGACTCAGTCTCGAAACCTCTTGCGAGTTGTGTCTGCCAGGCTTCTACCGCTGCATCGTCAACTTGGCCCCGTCCTTCTGAGACCCCAGCCTCAAGCATTTGAGCCGAGACCCCCGAGCCCTGAGATACCCACCACACCTCTCTGACACAGCGTAGTGTCTCCAGGCTGACTGGATCCAGGTGCGTGCATGTGCTTGCGTGCACACACACACACACACACGTTCCCTGCTGCAGGTGGGTCAGTCACTGTAGCTTTGGTCCATCACGGGCACTCCTGCTGGTCTAGTGGGAGTTGGCAACTGACAGTGACCCTGGCGCTCCTATTGGCATCGTAGCTCATTCACATGAGAGGGACATAAACTCTACTTGTCACCACATTTTACTTTGGGGTCTTACTCGCTGCAGCCAAACCCAATCCCAACATCCTTCCCTGCTCCAGGCTCTACTATGCTCTGCCCCGTGGGTGTCTGCCACTCACCAGGCTTCCTGCATGCGGCTGCGTGGAGTTTCTTGTGGATGTTGGACACCTGCCCAATAAAACTGATTTTAAAACACTATATCCTAGTGTAACACTCATATCTACACATGTAAGCAAGTGTATTTCTCTCAGATCCTCTGGAGCCTGTTCATGCGTCTTACTCATCCTGTTTTAGACATTTTTGCTGATCTCTCTTGTCATTATGTCTTTCTCTGCCATCCTCAGTGGTGACAAGCCATGTTTTGGTGAAAAACATTTTATTATGGAAATTTTAAGCATATACACAAGTGGACAGAAGACCGTGATGAACAATTATCAACTTAGGTCCCATCTTAATTTCAGTTAGGGTCTTACTCCCCTGTTTCTCCATCTGGATGATTTTTGTTTGTTTTAAAAGATTTATTTATGCATACAAGAGCTGGGGTGCAGGCCGGAGGTGTAGGGGGTGAGAGGATTCACCAGAGACAGAGTGGGGAGCAGAACAGGCAGATCGACCCAAGTACACTGCTGAGGGGAGCAGCGGGGAGACAGGAGAGGTCTGCTGCGCCGTGTGGGTAGCTCCCTGGCTGGGGATGGAACTCGTCGCGCCGCAGAGGCCGCAGAGAGCTTCATAGTGGGGTGCTTGACCCCCGGCGCCACCAGGGAGGCCCCATCTGGATGATTTTGAAACTCATCTCAGACATCACCTCACCTCACCCCAGCTTTCCCACGCAGTCCTCAAATGTTTTCTGCGATTCCGCCCTTCCACCTAAAACCTCAGCTGTTTCTTAATATCATCATTTGTTCAAGCAGTGTCGACACTTGCCTTTTTCCTGTGTTTATTAGTTAAAATCAAGATGGAAACGAAGTTCCTACATAGCAGTGATTGATGTGTCACGTCTGTGAAAAGATTCTTTAACTGAAATAAAATATTTAGAGAAAAAAAGCGTGCAGACCCCGAGTCCACGGCTCCGCGGACTTGCGAATCTTTTAACCTCTGTGGGACCCTCCCCGCCGTTTTCCCTCAGGAATTTCCCTGACCCAGAATGTTCCCTGTGTAGCCCCGGGCCCTGCCTCACGCGCCCTTGGCCCCGGGGTGCTTCGTCCCCCAGGCGGGAGAGGCCGAGTCCGGGCAGAGGTGACGCCCCGGCAGCGCCTCGTCCCGGGTCTCTCGAGCATCGAGGGCGGATCCTGAGGGAATCTCCTCAGCGGGGAGGCGGCAGCCGCGCGGCCCGGGTGGCAGCGACGGTCTGGGCTGAGGAACTGGGGTGCGGGCGGTGAGGGGCCCTCGAGGGCGGCGGGGAGACTCGTGCGGGAACCCCCCAGCGTCGCCCACGCCAGACTCGCCAGGGCGCGGCCGGGCCGCGGGGGGCCGCGGGGGGCTGCGGGGGGCCCTCTGGTCGTTCACCCTCGGGGGCCCCCAACTGGCCCCCTGTGGGTCACGTGTTTCGATGCTGGAGCCGGCTCGCTGCTCTCCGTGCGGCACTGGGGGCCCCTCCGTCCCCCGGGCAGCCCCTCCGCAGTGGGGGTCACCCGCGGGGTGCGCCCAGCCCCGGGGCCTCGGCGGCGGCGCCCCAGGGGTCGGGCAGCTCCCGGGCAGGCAGCACACGGCGGGACGCGCGAGGAAGTGGGGCGCCGGCCCGCGGGGGCAGGGCCCGGGGCTCGAGGGCGGGTCCGCGCGCCGCCAGCCCGGGCCGACCCCGACCTCCCGGAGACGCCCGGCCCCGCGCAGCGCCCGCCCAGGACCCCGCGCCCCGCCCCCACGCGGGGCCCGCCCGGCGTCCTCCAGACCCGCCCCCCGCGGCCGCCGGCCCGAGCTGCGCCTGCGTGGCGGGCCCCGCCCGGCGGCCCCTCCCCCTCCCTAGCAACCGTCGCCGCGCCCGCCCCCGCCCGCGGCCGCTCCGCGCACGCGCGCCCCTTCCGGCCGCTCGGCCCCGCCCCCGCCGTCACCCGTAACAACCGCGCGAGCCTCGCGGGCCCCGCCCGCCCCGCCCCCGCCCCGCCCCCGCCCCGGAACCGGCGCCCGAGCCGCGGCCGCCGCCAGTGGAACGGCGCGGCCCGCGGAGCCGCCGGCATGAGCGCCCCGCGCCGCCCCGCGCCCGCGCCCGGCCCCTCCGACTAAGGTAGGCGCCCCGCGCCCCGGCCCGCCCCCAGCCCCGCGCCCCGGCCCCCCCGACCCGCCGCCCCCGGAGCCCCCCCGCGCCCCCCCGCGCCCGCCGGGCCGGCCGCGTGTGGCCCCGATTGTCGTGCAACAGAGGCCGCCGGCCCGGCCCGCGCGACCCGCCCGCGCCCGAGGGGGGCGGCGCGCCCGCGGCGTCCGGCGTTCAGAGCCCCCCGCGGCGCCCCCGGCGGGGAGACGGGGGTCCCCGCGCGCCGGGAGGGGCCGCCCGGCCGGGCCGCCTTCGGCGAGGGGAGCGGCCCCGCGGGGGGGACCGGGGCGCCCCCGATGTCGCCGCCCGGCCCGGGAGCAGCGAGCTGCGGGGCCCCCCGCGCCCCACACCCTGGCCGGGCCGTCCCCCCCCCGCGGCTGTGGAGACGCGTCTTCCGAAGCCAACGTGCCGCCCCGTCTCTCCCTCCCCAGCTGGACGCTCCACCCGGGGCTCGGCCCGCGCGCCCTCGGGGCAGGGGACAGACAGACTCCTGGATGGTTCTCCGGCCGGACAGCGGGCGCTGCGGGCTCCGTGTCTCCCCCGCACCCTTGAATAGGGCGGTCGAGTCACCCAGAGGACCCCGAATAAAAGTGAGTTTTCGGGAAGACCCACCAGGCCGGGCCGGCTGGTGACTCTGCCCGTGCAGACCCCCGAGGGGACCCTGGCAGGGGCCACAGCCCCGCAGACCCCCGGGCGTCCCCGCAGGCCTCGGGGTCCCCCCAGGCCTCGGCGCCCCAGGAAGCGGGCATCGCCTGCTGCTCAGGCCGGCGCGAGGCCCGTTCCTCCGCCGGGGCCCTGCGTCCTTCTCCCGCTGCTGTTTGTGTCCCCACACGCGGTGTCTCGGAGGGCCACCACCTTCGTTCGGCTTTTGGTGGAAGTTGTTGAAGACAAAACGATTCAGAACTAACCTTATCCGTCATCGCGGCGTTTTGGTGCTGATGCCGACTCGGAGCCCCGGGCCCAGCAGGCCGTGGGGCAGGCGGGGAGCAGCCCAGCCTCCAGCCGCTGCGGCTCTGCCTGCCCCCGGCTCCCCTGTGCGCTCCTTACTCTCCCCGGCAGTGTGCAGGGGATGGGGGCCCCTGCAGGCGCCTTTTCCCCTTGGGGGAGCGGGAGGTGCGCACCAGGCCTGCTCGGCTCGCGTTACCACGTGTGTCTGTCGGCAGGTGTGAGAGGATCGCCGGCCTAGCGCAGCCATGGTGCAGAAGTACCAGTCCCCCGTGCGGGTGTACAAGCACCCCTTCGAGCTGATCATGGCCGTGAGTACTGACTGCGCGTTATCCCGCGGCCGCTTGTTTTTTTAAGGGTTCGAATTTGGTGATCTGTGCGCAGACGCTGCTTTGCTGCTTGTCCCGCCGCGCCGCCCGCCCTCTCCGTGCCGACGCGCCGCAGCTCGAGTTTGTAAAATGTCTTTAAAATTCTAAGACTGAAAATAAAAATCTGCATGTTTGTTTTCTAAAAATGCCCTCGGGGTAATATTTGAGTTAATTTTCCCTGCGAGAGGGCCTCCCCGGTGGCGCAGCGGTTGAGCGCTGGGTTGCGAAGCTGCCCGCGGCCTCTGCGGCGCCGGTTCGATCCCCGGCTGCTCCCCGGCCACCGGAGGAGGGTCCCACATGGCGCGCAGACCTCTCCTGCCGCCCGCTGCTCCCCTCAGCAGTGTACTTCGGTCCTTCTGCCTGCTCTGCTCCCCGCTCTGGCTCTGGTGGATTCTCTCGCCCTCCCGTGCTTCTGACTGTACCCAGTGCTTGTATAAACAAAACAAACAAACAAATAAATAAATAAAACATGCCTCTATTAAAAAAAAAAATTAAAAAAAAAATATTTATAATTTTCCCTGCGAGAACACAGAAGTGGGCGTCTGACTAATGGTTCCTCTCTGGATTTTGCTCTTTGTTAAGCAGAAAAGGGATGTGGACAGCAGGCCCTTCCCTCCGCTGCGCATCTGGCTGGTGAATTCCCGTCGCACAGAACCGGCAGTGTGGACGGGGTGTAATTTACTCTCATGGCTCTGCTTCAGAGTCCCCCTCGTCCAGTTCATGAGTCATGTTAAAAATTCACAAGAGGCTGATAACGAAAGGCTTACATCTCTTGGTTATTTACCCACGAGCTTGACTGAGAATGAGCACTGCACTAGGTGCACAGCAAACAAAGGCACCTTTGCCGCTCACGGGATCGCCCCGGGGCGCGCCTTCCCCTTCCTGTCCGCCAAGGTGCCTGCAGGAAATGACAGCGTCCCGAGCAGCCACCTGAGGAAAACGTCCAGCTGAAGCAAGGTCGGGACCAGAGCTGAGCCCGAGAAGTGCCAGTGCCCTGCCCGCCCTTCCTCTCTGTCCCCCAAGCGAGCCTCTGCCCTGACTTCTGAAAATAGCCAGAGTCACACCTCCTCCCCGCCCCCGCCGGGTCCCTGCTTCTGTTCTGTACGTAAATAGACTCAGGTGTTTCGCCTCTGCTGCTCAGCGGCACGTGTGCGAGATGAATCCAGATCAATAACAGACTCACGTCCTCTCAAGGAAACATTTACGTCTATTTACGTTTAGGGGGCTTTTTTTTTAAAAATTGAGGTGCAGTTTACGACAAGAGCCACACACGTTCCGTGTGCATTTGTTCCGTTTTGATGAGTGTCCCAACTTCTGTCAAGAGGCTGAGCCTTTCCCTCCATTGCTCGTATCCCCTTTCTGTCAGGTGTGAGGGTTTTTTTGTTTTTTTTTGGGGGGGGGGTGAGTCTTAGCATTTTCTATTAATGGCTTATCAGACAGACTTGTTTCCTGTTTGTGTGTTCTGAGTGCTGGTTTGGCTTTGGCCGCCTGGTGGAGACCACGCTGCTAGCATGACAGGGGACATTGTCGTGGGGGCTGTCAGCTGCGCAGGGCCCGGGGAACACAGCTGGGACGGGCTGGGCCCCGGGAGTGGCCGAGAGCTGGCTCCTGGCGGCTCCTGCCTCAGCAGCTGGCATCCCTGGAACTCACCCTGGGGACTCTGCCCGCTCCATATGCCGGGCCTGTCCCCGCCGCCACTGACCGCTCTGCTCACTTCTCGTTTTCCTTCCCCCGAGGCTTCAGCTCATGTGCTTTTTCCGCAGGTCAGACCCGCTCTGGCCCCAGTTCAGTTCTGTGGTGTCTTGTGGCTGAATGTTGTGAAGTGACCAATTCTTGGCATGTTTCCTGGTGCAGGTTCTGGAGAGAGACCTGGCTGGACCAGCGTGCCGCTCGCTGGCCGGCCTGTGGGTCCGTGGCGCCGAGGCTGCTGCCCACGCCTGTTCAGTGGGCTGCTGGTGGGGTGGGGAGAGGCAGTGGGGGGTGGGAGATGGTGCGGAAAGGCTGCCATTGTAAGCAGGGAAAGGCCCCCCTGGGGGCGGGGGTGGGGGCGGGGCGGCCAGGTCTGGGGGCCTGGCGCCTTCTTTCCAAGGCAGTAAAGAAAAGTTGAAAGCTCAGATGCCCTCTGTTCCGAGCAGAGGTTGGTCTCTGCAAACGCTGGATTCGATAAAAGAGATACTTGATTGTTTAATGTTCACCTTCCTCATTTTCCTGATTTTATTATCTTCAAAATGGCAGCTCGCCCCGCCGTTGAATGCGTGGATCTGCACAAGTTGAATGCGTGGATCTGCACAAGTACTTGACATTCAGATTCTGAGCCACCGTCTCCCCCAGTCTTTTAAAATGGACTCGTTTTTAACTTGCTTTTGTCTTGAGGCTGGCAGTTGTCACTTTCTTTGGAGTTGCTAGGAAGTATTTTTTAATCTGGAAAGATGTTACCTTTTCCCTCCCAGAATTATATAGAAAATAGGGTGTTTTTGCGTCTCAGCAGTTCTCGTGGGGTGCAGGTTACCGCTCTTCTGACAGTGATTGTATGACGTAAAATCTTCAGTGTTGACTCTGCTTTTTATTTTCTCGCTGAGGAAAAACAGGGTCAGGATAGAGCTACTCTGAGAATACTCTTGTCAGTGCACTCAGAGTGAGGGAGGAGGCGCACAGCGACAGCGAGCGCGGCTGCAGCTGACGTGTTTCCGAGAGCCTCGGCGGCCGGGGCCAGCGGTGACTGTGTGGGTGCGGCAGCTTGGCCTGTGGAGCCGACCCCGGGCCCGGCCCTGACCTGTGGGTCCCATGAGCAGAACGGGACACATCGCTGCTGAGCCGACGTGGTGCCTGGTTTCGGCCGCAAGTCTCGTAACTCGGCACTGGCAGGAACTGGCCGAGGCAGGAGGCGCCGGGGGCAGATCGTGGGGTGAATGTCCGAAGGGTCTTCGCGCTTGGGCTCAGTGAGATTCCCCATTGGGCTGGGGCAGGGGGCTGGCGGCATGGATGTCCTGTGGACTCTAAAAAGAGTAAGCGCCTGGAAGCTTCGCAGAAGGCATTTGTGGCATTTTAGGGTGTTCTGTTCTTAGCTGTTGGTCCCAAACCAGAATTTTACACCTTCTGTGAGTTGAGAAATGGCTCAGCTCAGCCCCCCTTTGAGGGTGTGGAAGGAAGTTAAAGCTGAACAGGCAGCAGCGGGGGGCCGAGTGTGCCCCACGATGCGGTCCAGGCGTTCGGTGAAGGCTCTTCTTGGTGGGGATGTCTTTAACGGTTCCCGTCGCCCCCGAGACACTTCCTGGGGCCACTCCCCCTGACGCTTGAGGACAGTCTCCACGGGGGAGGGCCTGCCCGTGGGTGGCGTCTGAGAGGCCCCTTGCTCTGGGCCCGGACACGTGACCCCGCGAGAGGGGCCTGAGCAGGGGGTGCTTAGGCTAGTGCTTCATTTTGAAATCCTTGAGGAGGGACCCAAATTCTAAGACGTAACGTTTTTCAGCCACAGCTTTCCCCTTGCTGATGTTCGTGACCCTTGGCTGAGTGACGCAGGGGGCAGCAGCGGGGCCCCAGTGGTACAGGTGGGGGCCGGCTGGGGAGGCGTGTGGCTGCTGTGAGCGCCCCTGGCCCCAGGCGGCGTGGGCATGCAGGCCTCTGCCCTGTGCCAAGGGCCGCTGTTTGGGCGAGTTGGAACACGTGAGGGCAGAGGTGTCTGGGCCCCCGAAACCTGAGCCTGATCTGCCCCCCACCCCCCACCCCGGGCTCTCTGTGCCGGGATGTTGCCGTTCTCTTCACCCGCCCGCTCCCGCCACTCTCCCTCTGCTCACAGCCCTTCCGATGCTCCGGGACCCCTGCCGCCGAGGCACCCCCACGGCTCCAGCCTGGGGCCCAGCTCTGGAGGGAGAGTCCCTGCCCGTGGCTCTGCCCCGCTGGGGGTCCTGGGCTCCTGCCCACGCTGAGGGGCGTGTCCAGCTCTGAAGGGGCCCCAGCACTTGAATGATGGCTGCGAAATGTTCTTCTCTTCGTGACCCTTCATGTCCTACCCCCGCCATTTGGCCAATGGCCGCCGTCTTAAAGCGCGCAGACTCCCCACCGCCCCTCCTGCGCCCCAGCCTGAGCGTTTCCCCTTCCCTCTGCCGGCTCTGAGTCTCCCCACTCGCCCGCGTCCTTGAAGCCTCTGAGGAGCCCCCCATTTCCTCTGTCGTCAGTGTTAGGTGCATGTTTTCACTTGTAATTAAATTCTTTCATTCTCCAATCTTCTGGGTCGCTCTCCTGTTTTGTGGAGTCCTCGGGGCGCCGACTCTGTGGTTTCTCTTGCTCCCTCGGGGCAGCAGATAGTGGACGCTCAGGAGTCCTGGCAGCTCAGGAGTCCTGGAGTCCTGGGCTCCGGGGCTGGGGCTTGAGAAAGGCGTTGGCAGAAGCACGGCTGTTTTCAGGCAAGGGTTTACGTTGTCTTCGGCTGCCCAGCAGCTGGCCTCTTGTTCCCCTGGCCTTGTTCCCTTTTTGTTAACAGGACCGCAGTGGCACCGAGCTGCGCCCACAGTCCGGGCGGCCGGGGCAGAGGGCCCCTTGGCGTGGACGCCCCAGCCCAGCGGCGCGGCTTGCTCGCTCGCCTTCCCGTTTCCACTGCTCTTCCTCTTCGGAGCCTCGGGTCCCACCAAGGCTGGGGCGAAAGGGAGAGGGAGAGCCCTGTGAGACAGGGCCCCTCGGGCGCAGTCCCGCTCTGTGACTAGTGACGAGGCCGGTGGTGCGGACGTGGAGCGCGCAACAGGCTGTGGGGCCTGGCACCGCCCAGCACGCCCAGCGCTCGCCCCCGCCCCAGCCAGGTGACAGGTGTCACGCGTGTGTAAGCACAGGGCTCTGCCGGGAGCGTGTTCGTCTCCCATCAAAGGGGCATTTGTAGTTGTATTTTACTCCCGTTCATCCGTTCACAGGGTGCGTCTTGTGTCTTGTGTCATGGCCTGTGTCACTTTCTG